CAATTGTTAAAAACTTGTGAATTTTCAAGTTAATTGACATTAGTATTTTCTCCTTATTTAATTTAAATTTTAATTATAAATACATATATTAATTTAATATAGGGCCCATTTTTGTTGCTACGCCCCGGGCCTATAAAATGATAGGACCGGGCCTGGTTAAAAGGTAATATCAAAACAGAGAATAGAGATATAGAGATAAGGGGATCATCTCTTATTCATCATCATCACTCTATACAACAAATATGGAGTATATATACATACAAGGTAATTAACGGAAACAATAATGAGAAATAATTACATAACCGTTACAAACGTTACAATACTATATAATAATGTCTATAATAAGTATAATATCTTCTATGGTATATTTTAATTTTTAAAATAATAGGAAGGAATATGGTGACAGGAGATAGTGCCCTAATAATAATAATAATAATAATAATAATAATAATAATAATAATAATAATAATAATAACAATAACAATAACAATAACAATAACAATAACAATAACAATAACCAAAATAAAAATATAATAATAATAATAATAATAATAATAATAATAATAATAATAATAATAATAATAATAATAATAATAATAGTAGTTAATACCCATTTTGGTCCCTCGACTACAGATAAAATTCATTTTGGTCCATCGATTATAGATAAAATGACCTTTTTGTCCCTCTCTATAACGGTGAATGGATGACAATTGTAACGGAGGACCAAATTGGATATGATTTTACAAGTTAGAGGATTAAATTTGGTACTTTTAATAGATCGGGACTAAATTGTGTATTACCTAATAGTCGAGGGACCAAAATGAGTATTCACTCTATCGAATATTATAAATCACTATCATAAATGATTTTTGAGAGAAAAGATTAAGAAGGACAAAAACATTAACAGCGTGTTTGGTTGATGGAATAGGTCGGGAATGGAATACCACTCCCGAGAATAGACCTATTCCATTGTTTGATTTGTTTTTTCATGGTTGGGAATAGCTTTTGTACTCTAATACCAAAAATACAACTTTTGTATTTTATATATATATATATATATATATATATATATATATATATAACATTAACAGCGTGTTTGGTTGATGGAATATGTCAAGAATGAAATACCACTCCCGGAAATAGACCTATTCCATTGTTTGATTTGTTTTTTCATGGTTGGGAATAGCTTTTCTACTCTAATACCAAAAATACAACTTTTGTATTATATATATATATATATATATATATATATATATATCACCATCGCCACCGCTACCGCTACCAGCACTACCACCATCACCGCCATCGCCACCACTGCTGCTGCCACCGCCACCACCACCACCACATATTTTTATAAGGATATTTATGTCTTTTAAAAGTTAAAACATATATCATTTCTATTCCTTAAACCAATCAAACACTGTAATATAATTCATAGAGTCTATTCCTTGCGCGAACCAAACAATAGAATACAATTCATATTCTATTCCTTGCTTATTACATTCCTTATGAAATAACATTCCTATTACCTCAAAATTCATTCCGTGAACCAAACGTGTTGTAAGGTTGAATTCACAACCGCCAAGGTGGCTCAATAGCTCAGCAGACAGGGTCAAATATCAATGCACATACCGCTACCGAGGTTCAAATCTTGATCTCTTCTCCCAAATACTGCCTATTGAATCAATGAGCTAAGCACGTGCGAGTAGTGATTGGAAATCTTAATTATTGATAAGAGTGACTGACAAATTCTTTATTTTGATTTTTTTTTTTTAAAAAAAAAAACATAATTCTCAACCACTTTTTTCATATAGTGGTAAAAATTCTGGCAACCAATTCAAAATTATTATTGTTTTGTAATTATTATTATTATTATTATTATTATTATTATTATTATTATTATTATTATTATTATTATTATTATTATTATTTACCTACGATGATGAAAGAAAAAGAAGAAGATAAAAGAAAAATGGAAAAGAGAAGATCAGAAGGAAAAATAATTAAAATTAGTTCATTGTATATGAGCAAATAGAAACTAAAAAGCTAAAAATCAGAAATAATAATGGCCATGGTTGCTAAAAAAAATTATACCAATCAAGTTTTTTTTTTCTTTTTTAATGTTTAACCTTCAAGAGTTGAAAACTTGCTAACTCGTTTATGTTATTGGCTACTTTCAATTGATGATGGGTTATATTTTTTGAATGCTACGGGCTCTGGCTCTATTACATTATAGTATCTGTTCATAACGCCTTAACAGAAATAATAATGGCCATGGTTGCTAAAAAAATTTATACCAATCAAGATTTTTTTTTTTTTAATGTTTAACCTTCAAGAGTTGAAAACTTGCTAACTCATTTATGTTATTGGCCACTTTCAATTAATGATAGGTTATATTTTTTGAATGCTACTGGCTCTGGCTCTATTACATTATAGTATCTGTTCATAACGCCTTAACTGAGGCTCAAACTCATAACCTTTCAAATGAAAGTTCAACTCGGGTACCATTAAACCACATAGTCTTGGTATTGATTAATTGGTTATATTAACATGCATTTTTTTTTTTGAATTCCTAAAATAACATGAAATTAGTTGTTGAATTTCAAATCTTACTTTTTTTTTTTTTTTATCACTATTATGGTTAAAAATTTGTCTTGTAAACGGTAGTACCTCAACCCCATTGTAGCTCCAATTGAACTTTGGTTGATGCAAATAGGGGAAAAGATCAACTTAACTATATAGTGGTATTCTTAAAATTAAGCATATATTTTTGAAATTGTATAATTGTAATCTGTATGGCAATATCAAATTGGACTATCTATTTTGTTTGTTTTTAGGATTAAGTACAATAACTCCAATTCATTATTTATTTTATCAGTAGGTTTTAAAACTTAGTATTTTAATTCAATTTAATTTTTTAAAAATCAATATTTTGTTTAAGAAATTGCTATATATGTTCTCTTTACAACAACAACAAAAGAAATTAAAATAATTAAAATAATGAATTTACAAAAAATATTCTTAAAGTTAACAAATTTAACATTAAATATGATGGAATTATTAAATGGATACAATTAAATAATTTCTAAGTTGGCAACTAATTTAATAATGCCACTATATAATAGGAGACAAAAGTTTAACTAATCATTCCGTCCCATTTTATGTATCTAGTTTGGTTAACGAGGCTTAACTAAAATTATTTTTAATCCAATTTTTCATAATATTAAGTTTAGTGTTAGTATACAAAATTCATATATTTAGAAACTACACTACAAATACTATTAAACACAAAATATCAAATTTAAAAATGAGTAAACAATACTAAAGAAAATAAGCAAAGAAGAAAGAGTTAGTTAGACCAATGAATAGTGAGTAGGACAACGAGACAAATGGAATATTATTCTTCAAAGAGTTTTACTACATGTACTTCCAAATTTTATTCCATGATATAGTGGATACTGATGGGTTATTTTTCTTCATTTAAGCCCTTGCAAAAATGTCTACATCAAATTTAAAGTATGAGAATAAAAATTAAGAGTAGAGAATTCAACTACATATAATATTTTCCTTCTTCAAATTGCAAGCTTTGCAGTGTGGCAGAGAAATGCTACAAAATTATGAAATTGCCAATTCTATGTTAACCTGCATTGTTTTCAATTGATGTCATTCGAGTCCTGATTGGGGATAGTCCTTTAATCATATTCATTTTTATTTTTTTTTAAAAAAAAGTCAATGTTTGTGACTTTGTGTGCACCGACTTACAATTCATGTGAACTCTTCAAAATTTAGGCAATTGAGCCCCCATATAATTACATATTTGACTATATAATATTCGCCTCGTTTTAACTATCGATTGTATTAATGTGACGTTGTTAAATTTTATTTAATTGTTTTTGTAGTGATTCGATTTTATCTAAAATATATAAACAAAGTTAACGTTCTCCATCTGATTGAAACCAAAACTTTTAGAGATTTTTAAAGGACACATTTAGAATAGGTGATAACTAGAGGCCGGATTAAATTTGGAAATAATCATAAGTGAAGAGTTGAAAGTGTAAATAATCAAAATTATATTCTTCGTACCGAATTAATTGTGACATTTACTTTTTGTACACTTTTTAAGAAATTACAGTAAATGCTATTTATTTTTTAATTATATCTCTGTTTTTTTTTTCACTTTTTTAGAAATAAAAGCAAAATTTATAAGGATAAATTAGGTAAATAAAATCATGGTGATGTTCAATTTTAAAAAGTGAAAAATATCTTGTGACAAATTAAAAAAGAAAGTAAGACAGATAAAATGTGACATATAGAGTAATTAATATTGTTTTTTGAGCAAATACCAATTTTGGTCTCACGAGTTTCGAGTATTAGTAAAATGACAGTTTTGATCTACATGTTTAATTTCTACTAATTTTTATTCACGATTATTATTTTAGTACTAATTTTAATTCACAACTATTATTTTAGTACCAAAATTCATCACTTCGATCACCCATATATTTAAGACATCCCAAAATTTAAAAATTTTAAGGGCATTTTCATTTTTTTCAACTTAAGATTCCAATTTGAACATAAATAAATGAATTTAAGCCTTAAGATCGATCATAATTCGCAGTTTTCCTTCTCATTCTACTTTAATTTGAGAAGGAAAACTGCGAATTGGAATAGATCTTAGGGCTTAAGTTCCTTTATTCATGTTCAAATAAGGATCCCTAATTTGAAAAGTACAAAATTATCCTTAATAATTTCATATTTTGACATGTCTTAAACGAAGGGGTGACCAGTGTGATGAATTTTGACACAAACAATAGTTATGGATAAAAATTAGTACTACCCAAATAGGCGTGGATGAAAATTGGTAGGAATTAAACATGGAAACTAAAACTATCATTTTGCTAATACTCGTGGGACTAAAATTGGTATTTGCCCCTTTTTTTTTTAATTTATTTGTTATCTAATAGAATAACTATTTGCGCCTGCTTTTGCTACCTCAGCGGCTCAGCCTGAGATAACAATAATCAAACCACTACAATCAATCATCTTCCCCTCAAACCCGATCCCACATTTACTAAATTCCAGATCCTCTCTCTCTCTCTCTCGCTTGCATTTCTATCCGGAGCGAAACCGGTCTCTGCATTGGCGGGTAAATTTTTCTCTTTCACTCCTACTTCGATTCAAATTTTCTGATTGTCGTTTGGTTATTTGAGATTCAATCTCTTATTATGATATTTAGTCGATATTCGAGAAGGTTTCTGTGAATTTTGTTTCATATTCAACACCAGAGATATGTGATATCTGTATAATTACTAAGAGCGTAGTTTAATATGTATTTATTTATTTATTTATTTTAGATATTCAAATTTGAACTAATTTAATCGTTTGTTTGGTATATTGTATTGTATATAACCTATATACAGGTATATATGTATGTGTGTATGTACGTTCATGTGTGTATGTGTGCTTGTGTGTGTATTTCGAGCATTTGATTGAATTTTTATCCAAAACCGATATGCTGGCTTTAAAGGTTCAAGAGGTTCACAATTTCAAAGACAGTTTGTTGCCTTGTAGAGATAATGGGATATGAATATCTTATCTCAATTTCACAATGTCTGTATGTGTTAAATCATAGGCTGTGTTCTTTGAAAGTTATTTTGTTTTCCCTCATAATTGCTGTATGCATGTCTTATCTCCAAAACGAGTGAAATCTCTGGCATGTGGCATAATTAAGGGAATGAAATTTAACATGTTTTTGTGGCACATGTTGAATGTATGAGTGCCTTATCTACCTAATTGTGTTTTTAGTATAAGATATGTGTTAGATGTATGCTGAACTTACTTTATTTCATCAAATGACTTAGTGACTTACTCATGAAAAGATGAAAAATGCTTGATATGTGTTTTCAGCGGAAAATGGGGATATATCTAAGCAGTCCTAAAACTGATAAGCTTTTGGAGGATGGTGAGAATGACAAAGTAAAATTTGGCTTGGCTTCAATGCAAGGATGGCGTGCATCAATGGAAGATGCTGTAAGTGCGAGACTTTTCTAGCCATGAAGATGCTGCTGTGTTGACCTTTACACAATTTGAATCTTGTAACTGATATGTTTCAGCCAGTATTGTGTTCAAATACCATAAAATTTTGAGGATTCGATTTTCTAAAAGATGGAAAATGAGATTCAGACTGCTTATTTTAGATATTCTGCAGCATGCAGCCTATCCAAACCTGGACGCTTCCACTGCTTTCTTTGGTGTTTATGATGGCCATGGAGGTAAGGATACTATTTTATTGCACATTATACTAAATGCCTTTTCAGCTGTTCTTTTTTTTTCCTGACAAAATATTTAGCTATGTTTATTTTAAAAACTTGATCACTTATCATGTTTTTCCCTTTATGAAACAGTACATTTTTTTTTATTTTTTATTTTTTTGAATTTCAAATTATATATTGTTAGGGATGAGTTTTTGTTTTTTACCCACACTATTTACTCGAGGAATAGCTCGCTTCTGATTGCTGTAACTTTGTGTTATGTTCTCGGGCGAAAGCACGCGTCAAAGGGCGATTAGGGTTATTGGGGATGTCTATGTTGAGAGATAAATTTAAGGAACAAAGATAATAGGAACGTTTTGAGAGTTTTCCCACCTCTTGATTTTAACTTAACTTCTTTCTTGCTTGTTCTTTTATTAGAATGAAAATCCCCTTTATATAAGAGGGGGGTTACAAAGACTAGTAAAACATAAAAAGGAAAGGAAGACTAACTAAAACATAAAAAGGAAAGGAGAATCATTAAAGCTCCTTACCATAATTATTTCCTATCTCTATAGGAAATAAATCAATAAATCAATTCTAATAATAAAGATATTTCCTTAATCATATCATTACTCCCCTCTTGGACATCAAGCTTGTCCTCAAGCTTGAGAACCTCGTGCAGCACGTAGCCAATACCTCCCACGATCAAACGGCATCCCCAAAAGAAGTGCAAATGAAAAAGCCTCAAGTGGCATTCTACGAATCAATGGAGGAGCGAAGTCAGCAAACAGTGGTGAGGAAGATCCCAAACTTGGAAATCCTTTGAAGGAGGTAGTTGGAATAACAACATTAGACGATGAGGGAGACACCAACGATGAAGACTGACCAATACCATATGACACAACCCTTAAATGAGATGGGGTTGGAGAGTGGTGAAATAACCCTCCCATGCATATGACAGTTTTTGTAAAGGGCACAACCTCAATTTTAGCAGTCTTTTGTGTTGAAACCACATGAGGCTGATTGGCTGAAACAGTGGCTTGCAATGGCGCTATCTCCACATGTGGGTGCTCAACAATGATTGTGGATGGAGTGGGATCTAGCTGTGTTAGGATGACCGCTTCTGGAGTGGCGTGGCTAGCGGTAGAGTGCGTGACAGCAGTGGAGGTCGTTGGGAGATGAGGGTTCGTGACAAAGGAGTTCACAACCGCCGTGAGGTGTGCGACGGCTACAGACAAAGTATGAACGGTAGCAGGTAATTCTTCCAGTTTTTGCACGGTGGCTGGCAGGTGTTCCAGTTTCTGCAGAGATAAGTGGATGTCCCGCATCTCGTCTTGGAGCTTCCTCAATTCGCCCATATTGACGGCCCGGCAACGGAACCAAAATGTTATGTTCTCGGGCGAAAGCACGCGTCAAAGGGCGATTAGGGTTATTGGGGATGTCTATGTTGAGAGATAAATTTAAGGAACAAAGATAATAGGAACGTTTTGAGAGTTTTCCCACCTCTTGATTTTAACTTAACTTCTTTCTTGCTTGTTCTTTTATTAGAATGAAAATCCCCTTTATATAAGAGGGGGGTTACAAAGACTAGTAAAACATAAAAAGGAAAGGAAGACTAACTAAAACATAAAAAGGAAAGGAGAATCATTAAAGCTCCTTACCATAATTATTTCCTATCTCTATAGGAAATAAATCAATAAATCAATTCTAATAATAAAGATATTTCCTTAATCATATCACTTTGATAACAAAATTCTGGAGGTAATGCATTCCTAACTATTCAAAATAGGTTCTAGTTATTTTCTTATTCACTAATAGTAATAGGTGCCAATGACTATTATGAATGTGTGTCTAAATTACTGCCTTCTAACCGAAATAATCTCTAGCTTGTATTATAGTTTGAAATCAATTATTCAAGTGTAGTTGTTTCACCTGGGCTTTTGGTAGGTTTTGTTTTCTAGTCACTTTTATTTCCTTTCTAAAGCTTTTCATGTTGTAGGTGATGAAGTTGCTAAATTTTGTGCAAAGTATCTTCACCAGCAGTTTCTCAGACATGAAGCATATTCTGCCGGGGAGTTAGACACCTCAATTCAGAAATCATTTCTCAGGTTATTCTGCTTCTTTAATTCTCTTTCACCATTTAACTTTTCCGTTGGCACCACATTGTTATCATAGCCCAAGCTTGTCAAGGCAACAGGAAGGTGTCATTTTCCTGTAAGTTATAGTTTCTCATCAGCCAAGGATTCTGGACCAGACTCTACCTTTATCCTAGCTACAGGGCAATATGGGTTCAAACTTGTAGGGATGACTGCTAAAGTCTAATTCAAATTGCTTTAATTAAATATAATGTTATCTTACAAAACTATGAAATTTGTGGAAGACCTATCAGCTTGTTACTTATTTTGTTAAAAAAGAAAACTTCATTTGTTTACTTTTAGGAGATTAGTCTTAATACTCAAAAATGTGTTCTTTGTGGCAATGATTGTCTTAGTATAATCTTGGTTAGAAGTTACCTTAACAAAAGTAAGGTTATAGTCTTAATTGAACTTGCCTTTATTTGTGATTTGTAGCTAAGCCAAGGTACATATTAAAATTCATATCTTTTTTCTCCAATAGAGATGCACTATAAAGTTTCTTGTATATAAGAAAATATTAAAAATTAAAAAATGAAGAGAATAGAGTGGAAAGGCTCAGTTTACTGACGGCAATGAGTCCTTTGCAAAAAAAAAAAAAAATTAAAAATTAAAAATTAAAAAAAAAATATGAAGAAATAAGAGAAAAATAGCTTTCAAAAAAAAGGGATCCAATCCCCCTTGCATATTTTGGTAAGCCTACAATGATGCCAGAAAAGTCATTGTATTCCCAAAGAGATGCAGAAAATACCTAAATATACTCCAGATTATGATTTTAACTTATATCTACTAATGAAACAGAATGGATGAAATGATGCGTAGTCTAGGAAGTCGGAAAGAGTTAGCGAGTTTGACTGACAGTGACAAAATGAAAGATGTGGTTGAAGGCTTATGGTCCCCTAGGAGCAGTGAAAATAAGGGTAAAACCACTGATTGGCCTTCTAAGGAGGTAATATTTCCATCTTTTCTGTTGTTTGTCTCCATGTTCTAAGATTTTATCATATTCTCCTAGTTGCATTGTGCAACCATTTTTCTGATGTTAGAGATATGCATTCGCTGGTGCTAAAAGTGAGCTATTTTGATACTTCCTGCCTTTATTTACAACCTTAGCCAGTACTGCAATGAATGTTCCATGGAATATGTAGACAATAAGTATCCTTCAGTAGACCTGATTAATTTTTTGGGTTTGAGCCTTCCTCTTGCACATCAATAGACAACTGATTTTATTTTTTCTTCAGCAATTATTCTGCATCATGATCCCTTTTCTCCCTTTGTGTGGCTTAGTATTGATAATATGTATTAAATATCTTTTTTTAAAAAATATATATATATATATACTTTAGTTTGTTTGTAAGTTAAAGGGTTATTGTATGTTGACTTGAATATAGGAAGGTCTCTCTGATTACAATGGGCCAACTTCAGGTTGCACCGCCTGCGTTGCCATCATTCGAAACAATCAACTTATTGTTGCAAATGCAGGTGACTCTCGTTGTGTTCTATCCAGGAAGGGTCAGGTAAAGTTTACTTTTCTTAAGATCTTTCTAGGATTGTTCATAAATTTTGCCAACAGATGAGCGGTTTGGAAGTATTGGTTTTTACGTTTAGCTTGTAAAGATCACTAGTTCTTCAAAGCTTGCATCATAAATTCATAATGATGTCATGTATTGGCACTTTGGAGTGAATATTCTGCATTTCTACTGCTTGATTTCACATTAAAAGTGTGGAATGATCTCTCTACGGAAGTGTATGACTTTTGAAAATTTTTGCAGGCACATGATTTGTCAAGAGATCACAAGCCTGACCTTGAAGTTGAAAAGGACAGGATACTGAAAGCTGGTGGTTATGTTCAGTGTGGACGGATCAACGGGAGTTTGAATTTGGCAAGAGCAATAGGTATTAATGTTTATATTACATACAAAGTATTTTGAATAATTTCTTCTTCTTCTTCTTTTGTATAATGTATTAGTCTCTCCTGGTGGTTATAATGGTTTTTGCTGATTTCAGGGGACATGGAACTGAAACAGAACAAAACCTTGCCTGCAGAAAAACAGATAGTGACTGCTAATCCTGACATTAAAACTGTAAGTTCTTTAAATGTTTGTATTTAAGACAGCTCAATATCCTATTTAACTGTCCTTTATCTTATTTAACTGGTCTTTATGGTTGACCTCTTGCTATTTCCATATGGGTATTATTAATCTAATATGGATTTCGTCTCCTTTTCCTTCATTATTTCTTTAACTAGGTCGAGCTTTGTGCTGATGATGATTTCCTTGTTGTAGCATGCGATGGGATATGGTATGTCCTGCTTTGTTTGAAGTTTTGTTTAACTTCTCAATAATAAGATGAACCAAGTTTTCATTTTAAAATAAGCTTTGGTAGCAAGTTACAAGCCTATGTTCCATGCAGAACTATATACACTGCACCTAGTTATATTTTGCTTATTGAGAACCTCGTATATTAATGTTTTTCAGCAACCTGAAAGCAATGCTCTGAAGAGTTTCTGTCACTATTGAAAAAACAATTCAATTTAGTAAATGGAATCAAAGTGCTTACAGTATCCAAGATGTGTCCCGTGAAAACCTGCTCAAGCTTTTCTACCATCTGAATATATTTATTTATTAAAAAGAAACATCCTTGTTACTAAATATTGGCTCATTTTTACATTTACGTGCATATTGAGAAATCCGCTCTTCCAGTTTTCACATCTATTTTCTTCTTTTGCTAGGGATTGCATGACAAGCCAGCAACTTGTGGACTTCGTCAAGGACAAATTAAACAACGCAAGTTCTTGGGTGCTAGATTTGACTCATTTTTTATAAATACAGTTGAAAAAAATACATAAATCCTCTGTAAATTATTTGCAGGAAAACAAGCTTTCGGCGGTATGCCAAGAGGTTCTTGATAGGTGTTTGGCGCCATCATCTGGCGGAGAAGGATGTGACAACATGACGATGATTTTGGTTCAGTTCAAGAAAAATCTGAACACCAAGGAACAACCTACCGCCTCTAATAAGCAATCTGAATCTAGCCTTGGTGCAGCAGGAGAATCTGGTTCTAAGTAATGCCAAAACTTTTAGCTTTACATATTTGTGATTTTACTTGTGGAAGAACTCAATGGTTAAAAGAAATTGACGATTTGAAAATTTTCTTGTAAAGTTTTTGATATTTTCACGTATAAATAGGAGCATATTTTAGCTATGTTTTTACTTGTTGATTCTCATTCAACTCTATATCACCTCACCTGTGAATTGACATAAAATTGAAGTCACATTTTAAATATTGAAAGTATTATCCAGAATTTGTAAGGTATAGAACTTAAGTTATGAAGATCTTTTGCACTGAATAATCAATAGATGTAGATGTGAATGGGTTCTGGACTTCTAACTGCTAATATCTCGATTTGGAAAGTGAGATTTGTGTCGTCTAATTGCATAGAGGAGATTCTTTATAATTGGTGGAGCTAGAAGCTAGAAGTAGAAGCTTTAAAGAGTTAAAAGCTTTTAATATCGACGTCTATTCTCGAAAGCAACAGTTCCTTATTTTTCTCTTCCATTTAATTGTGCAATGTGGTTACATAGATGATAGCTATCTCTTCCCCCTTCTTCTCGTTTAATCCAGAACTCCAAAGGTAGGGATGGCAATGTGCCCGTCCCGTCGGGGATGGTGACGGGAAAAATTTCAAGGATCAAAAACGGAAAAGGGGAATTTTTGAAATTTTCCAGCGGGGATACCCCTTCCCGCCCCGCTTAACTCCCCGAGAGGGCGGGGATGGGGACTATTTCCAATTCCCCACCGGAGATGGGGACGAAGACGGGGATGGGATCGGGGTTTTGGGGACGGGGACTATACTCCCCGCCCCCGCCCCGTCCCGTTGTCATCCCTATCCAAGGGTCTTCTACACTCGGCTTGACAAAATATTTGGAAGGATATAAATTACAGTAACTTAACTCAATAGCTCAGCAGGCAGGGTTAAATGTCGGTGTGCAGAAAGGATCTGCCTATTTTAGACATAATCCTCACACTGTCGATGTCAAGAGTCGAACTGTCGGTGTCAAGAGTCAAACCTTAATCTCTTCTCCCAAATACTTAAGTAGTGAGCTTAGCCGGTGAGGGCAGGTATCTCTTCCTCCGTTCAAAAATATCAATGATTGAAGTCAAGTTGATAAGAGTATGATTGGAAGGCATCTTTGAATAAAATCTTGTAAATAAAATAATAAATATTTGCACAGAATTTTTCTGAATGAATGAATTATATAAAAGCTAAATTTTCCATAGCATGGAAACAGTAAACAAGAGACAAGGACAGTTTTCTAAAATATAATAAACGAAACATGGAGATATTAGAGGTATATTTATAAATATTGTTTCTTAATATGAACAAATATTAATTATTTTATAATTAAAATATTAAGCTAATAAAAAAAAATAGTACACCAAATTACTAATAAATAGTTAATAGTAAATATCAAGAGTTAATATCATCAGAGGTCCTTTGTCTCGGGTGATAATTCTAAATTTAGTCCTAAATTATCGTTTTTGTCATTTAACAGACTATTGATTTTTGGACACTTTTAGCCTTTTTCATAACTTTTCCTATTTTTAGTAATGACATTTTTGTCTCTTCATATTTTTCTTTTGTTATTTTTTCAATTTCAATCGGTTTAATTGATTTAGAACTTTAGGTAACCTCTCATTTTTAGTAACCATATCTATGTATGTATATATTATCTATCTAATCTAAAAACTAATAAGAGTGGATGAATGTTATACCCTTCATTTACGTTCCTTTTTTTTACTATTTTTTTATACAATATGTTATAAGAGGGGTGTGTCTTAAAATATAAACCCGCGGTAGGTCGGGTTGGATATATATATATATATATATATATATATATATATATATATATATTAAAATAAGTATTAATATGTAGTTATTATAACAATTTCTATAACTTTAAGTTTTTATTATTTTTATATTTAAATTATTAAGTTTATTTTTAAAATTTTACTGAGTACAATTTAGTTCTTATATTTGAATATTTTTATTACTTATAATTTAGTATAACTAATGAATTTTATTAATTATTATGTGTAAGTAATTTAAATATTATTTTATATAAAAAATAAAATGATAAGTGGTGAGAATTCGTAATGACACCTATCCTATAGAGCGGGGATATGTTTTAGAAAAATTCAACTAATACAAGTTGAGAGTGGAGATAAGTGAAAAAAAATAGAGAAAATTTCAATTTTGGTCATATGACTATAGGGGCTTTGTTAATTTCAGCGCTTAACTTTCAAAAGTGTCAATTTTGTATCTTGACTATGCAATTTTTATCAATTTTAGTCACTCCTGTCAAATTGCCGGTCAAATTTCGCCGGAAAATTATAACAGTTAAAATAATAAGGATATTTTAGTCATTTCACATATCTTCCTTCTTCTCTGGCGAATTCTTTTTTTCCAACATTGCCCTCAACCATGACCCCGCAGGTATGTATCTCTGTGTTTGTAGTGGTTCTGGAAGGGTTTGAAGCGGAGAAAACGGCGTCGCAGAGAGCGCACCTGAGCAATGTTGTACGAGTTGGTGCCGGTGGTCCAAGGCAAGGCTGCTGCTAAGCAAATGAGGCTGTTTTGCGTGAACATCGTCGACGTTGAGCCTCGGGGTGTTGACGCGGGTCGGGGCGGCCCGGATCGCGATGATGGTGTTCTCCGCCGGGAAAAAAAAAATCACCGGAGAAGAAGAGATGAGAAATGAGTAAAATACCCTTATTATTTTAACTGTTAAAATTTTCCGACGAAATTTCGCCGACAATTTGATCGGAGTAACTAAAATTGATAGAAATTACATAGTTAAGGTACTAAATTGACAACCTTTTAAAAATTTGGTGTTGAAATTAACAAAACTCATATAATCATATGATCAAAATTGAAATTTTTTCAAAAAAAAAAAAAAAAAAAAAATATATATATATATATATATATATATATATATATATATATATATATATATATATATAGTCATTTCTGAGCATTGTCATCCATACACATGTGTTATCCAATTTTGAGTGAGGTGCATTTTCAATGGTGTGGGAAGGGTGAATTGGTAATAAATGTTTGGGTATAGCCGTATAGGCATAGGCAGCGAGAAGCCGCGTAGTGCGTATGGAGATTGGAGCAGTGCATGTTTGACACGTGGGTTAATTGCTTATCCAACGGTGTTGTCTTCATTGAAAACTGCACAGATCTAAAGTCTATCCACATTCAGAACCCAGCTTTGACGCTTTTACTGCCCGCGTCTCGTGACCTTCACCTGACCTGGCGCCACCTCATCCTCCATACCTCTTTAGTCTTTACCACAATTTCCAATTTTCCATTAACTTAGGATAAAAATAAAATTATCCCACCAAATCTCTTCCACTTTTATATCATCAATTTTGTAAATATTTTACTATTTATTCTACATTTCTATCAATTTTAAAAATGAACCCACTTTCATATTATTTACAAATATAATAATAAAATAATATGAAAAGAAATATTTAGAAAAGAAATCAAAAGTTGTGCAGTGCCCATCCTTTTCAGCAGTTTTGCAAGCTTTTTCTCATTTACAAATTCTCTCTTCTATTGCTAATTAGCCAACTCTCTCTCCAGTGTGAATAAACATAAGCATAAAACAAATAAAAAATGATTTTCTCTCTCTTGTCATGTCACATTGCCAATGTGAGATTTGCAGGGAGGTGTTCTCCCTTGTCTATTTATTGTATATGTTCAACATAATTATATCAATATTCTTATTTAAAATAAGATTCAAATTTATAACATTTATTTAAAATGGTATCAAATGTCATTAAATCACAAGTTACATGGCTTATACATATGATTCTTAATTTTTTAAGTCCTCAAAATTCCTCCTTAAAAATGTTGACGGAGATAAATTGAGAGTCACTCAATTAATTCTTAATTTTTATTTCTATCTGCAGACTCTATGCACAAATAAGGGTGATCACGGTTCGATTTGAACCAACATTGTGCTAACCAAATCGAAACTGAAACTTCCATAAGGTTCCGATTAAGGTTCACGAAATTTTGGTTCCAAACCGTGAAATTAAAAAGAAAATAGTGCTTTTTCAAACTGCCAAAGCCGTGTTTCACGGCTTTGGCAGTGATATTAAATTATATATATTAAACTAACAAACAAAAATTAAAAAAAAAAAAAAAATTTAAAAAAAAAAAAAAAGAGAGGGAGACGAGAGTCCAGTTAGAACTGACGGTTATAATTGGAACCGCTGGTTCAAAATTGTCCAAATAAAGTTCCGGTTCCAATTCCAATTAGTTTGCGACAGTTCCAAGCCAGAATCGAACCTTGGGCACCCCTAGCACAAGGAGTTTTCATCAATTTTTTAAGTTTTGAGTCTTCGTCAATCCCCCCATATCTTCAATAGGAATCAAACTTTTACTCTGTCAATAAAACAAAACTTTTAGAGTGATCATTGAAGTATTAAGCTAAATTTCGTGAGACTTATTATACTTCTAATATTTTCACTATAGTATTATTAATTCAAAGTTAACTCATATTATGTTCATAAAATTTACAGCAATTTTTATTTCAAAAAAAAAAAATTATAATATAACTCTTTTAACGTAACACACTATTTACAAGTTTAAACTTTTGATGTTACTCTCAGTATAATTTCCAATGATAATACCGCACGTTCGCTGTCTTGCACTCACCACAACATATTATATTGAGAGTAATAATATTTAAATTGTAATCATTCAATCGGAACCATCAACGATAGTGGCATCTGACATATACACGTGGCCAATTCTGCATCAGATAAAAGATTGTTGTATAATTTACCACCAAAGTGTCAAGCATCTTGTATTTAGATATCATGTAATAATTTCTTTTATGTAGGAGGTCATGAAATCGAACCTCAGTAAAGACGTTGTTGAAGATCATGAGATCGAGTTTCAGTAGAGACATTGTTAACTCTTTGTGTTTCATTAGGTTGAGAAAATATATTTGAACAGATACTACAATGTAATAAAGTCAGTAGCATTCAAAAAAAAAAAAAAAAAAAACCACCAAATTACAGTAGTACCCTGCTTATTTTTGTATTTTTTTTTTTGTTTGTGCTTGTGTGGTGTGTATATATCAGTTTATTTTTATTATAATATAAATCATGTAAATATCACC